GGCAATTGTTGGAGATTCCAAAAATAATATTATATACAGAGTGTTCCATTTGAAAAATCAAAGTTGCTACTGCTTTCTAATAGAAGCGGCAACACCGCATTGTCGAAAATATTTTAGTTGGCTAGAGAATGTCCGAATATGCCCTCCATTAAATTTTCAAAGTGATCCGTTGTCTACTTCACCAGAAACGTCTAATGTGCCATCCACCGTGAATCAACCTGTATATTATTTATATTTCGGGAACTGGCAACACTAATGCCAATAATTGTTCTCGTTGGATATCTATCTCATAATTTATCAATCGCTCAAAAAAGGCTCGCGTCAAGTGGTGTAAGGAAGTGATTGAAAAGTTCGACCGTGGTGTTTCAAAAGACGTGTAAAAATCTTGACAGGTGATAAATCATGGATATATGCGTATGAGCCGGAAACAAAACAACAATCGACCTTATGGGTATTCCAAGACGAGGTAAATCCAACAAAAGTTGTTCGTGGAAGAAGCACAGCAAAGCAAATGGTCACTTGTTTCTTTGGCCGAATGGGTCTTGTGGCCACTGTTTCGCTTGTGCAACGTAGAAAGGTAAATTATGAGTGGTACACGACCATTTGTTTGCCGAAAGTGACAACACAAGCTCTAAAACATCTCGCCAAATATCGAATTAATGGCTCATCTTTCGTACATTTCCGATTTGGCAGCCAATTACCGCGTGGTCAACGATTTACCAGCGCCGAGGAAGCAGTTGAAGCGTTCAAAAACCATATTTTGGAAGTGTCTCAAGAGGAATGGAAACTGCTTTGACAATAGGTTCAAACGAATGCAAAAGGGTATTGACCACCAAGGAAAATATTTCGAAAAACAATGAAGCCATTTTCATTAAGAAATGTTCATTATTTGCTATTTCAGAAAAATAAATAGTATATACCTACCTCTTAGGACACAGCAGACTTACAGATGGATACCTGATATCTCGAAAACAACTACAGTGCAAAATATGTTCCACTAACAGTGAAGCATATCCTAGTGGTAGGCCCAGCTGGAGAGAATCACCAACAGCATAACTCAGAAGTTGAATGAACTTCCAGGACGACATGAAGTGGAGAGAATAATTTGAATCTAATTGAAAAATTGTAACATATAACCAAATATTTGTTTCTAAGTAACAGATACTCCTCCGCTAGTAACCATAAGGTTGATGTGGTTATTTTTAAATAAAAAAATGTTGAAAAGTCTGGAATGCACAGATTATACATTGTTGTCCTGATGACTTTTTGGTTAGATTAACCTTAACATTTCTTTCCGAAGTATAGCTCTACGCCTTTGTCTTCGTATATATGATATATTTCAAGTAAATATAATTGTCTCATATTTAGTATTTTGGCTTCAACAAATAGATATTGTTGTCTATTATATAGAGTCTTTCATCAAGCACCTCCAATCTTTAAATTCAATAAAACAAAATATGTGTGTTTGAAAGACTTATATATTATGTGTGGATATAACATCATTCAGATGTCCGTCGCGGCTTCTCTGGGTGGAGCACATCCGAAACGTTTTATTTTCCACGACTCTGGCGCATATATCAGGCTGAATTTGACCGATGCCATTGATTATGTTGGCTTTGAGGACCGCTGTATACACCTGCGATTTAAGAAAACCCCACAAGAAAAAACTCTAACAGTATCGAATCGCACGATCTTGGTGGCCAGTTCACATTACCTCCTCGTGAGATGGCCATGCCCTCAAATTGCTCCTGCAGTATATCCAATGTGGCATGAGCTGTGTGGTACATAGCGCCGTACTGTTGAAACCGCATATCCATCGTGTTCAATCATCCAATTGAAGCCAAAAAAAGTTGATAATCATCGACTTGGCCAACGTCGCTCTCAAAGAGCGATGATGGATGGACCGATGAACCAATGATGTCGCCAGCCCAAAATCCACAACAACCAGTGACTTTTTCAGGATGCATTGGATACTATTGAAACTCATGTGGATTCGTATCATCCCAAACATCGGCGATGTTATCGGCAGATCTTGCAGTTTGTCGTCGTACGAGTGTTGGCCGTTCGTTTACTGAACCAGTGGACTCAAATTTACCCACCAGATTGCGAATAGTTCTCTTGGTAGGACGATTATGGCGACCGTAAAATGGACGGAACGCGCGGTACGTTGCTAGAACAGAACACCCATTTTGATAACAAACACAACGTGTTGTTGAATGCTATATCCGTCCATCCACAAACTGAATAAATCACAACTAATTTGACAGATGTCGTTATAAATTGTCCCCGTTGTTTATGAATTATTTCAAATTTTTCTGTCTAATAGGAATGACTAATTTTTTCAGGTGGGTCCGAAGAATGTGAGAAGGAATTGGGAATGGAGATGGAAATTTCAAAAATAATATAAAAAAATGTTATATTTGAAGTTTTCATATGAAACATTGCATTTTAGGGCTCATATACCTCAAAGGTAAATCTCCATTTGAATTTTTCTGTAATCGACATGCATGGAATACCTTCAAGGTCGATCGACGTGCGTATGGAGAGCAAGGAAGTGCGGTAACTAGCGATTGTTAGACCGATGTCTATAAAATTGTGGGAGCGGTGTTTTATGGCGTACGACTTCTGACTATAACAGAGTGTTTTACGAGCCCAGCACCGACCTGCCTCAACCGTTTATTCGCCGCGTTTATTGCGTTTTTATAGTCGTTACGGAGTAATTTGTAAATGTGGGACATTCTACTAATTTCGGATGGGTCTGATATTGCTTTACAACTTTACAACTCCGCTTGCGGCGTTGTCGTTTCTTTGGAATTTTCGGAAAAACTGCACCAGCCGAAAAACACTGAGTTTTTGTGTCTGATAAATCAAAACTAATCAATGTTTTACAAGTCAGTCTTGGACTTGGAATCCCAAAAGTATGTGCGTAATATTTATACAAAAAGTCACAATGTTCAATTCAGTTTTATTTCAAATAACCGTTGAACTGCTAGACATTATGGTAAGATATATAATTTAAATATACAAAGATGAGTAGATTTTACCAATAAATACCAAAATGAATAGATTTTTCAATACCAAGTTCATTCAGGGAGTAAGTAACTCGATGCTATTCCATTAAACCCAATATTTATCATTGAATACATATTCAAGAGAACAAAATATTTATGGCCTGTATTCAAATGAAGAACGAAACCTTAGGAAAACATCCAATGACTCTATATTTTTTCATTATTATGAAGAAAAAAAAATCATGAAATCTTAGGATTAACTAATTTTTTTTTCAAATATTCATAAAAAAATCGATAAACAGTGCATACATAGAAGTACAAATAGTAATCTGTGAAAAATATTTTTTATGAAATTAAACCTCATTCCAAAAATTGAGGTATTTGATTTGTAGGACTTGATAAATACTAAGGTTTTGGTGAAGAAATTTTTATCCAAAAACAGGACGTGAACAGAATATGTAACACTCTATTTTGGAAAAAAATTAACAAGCAGCATTTCGATAATGTCAAGGCAAGGAAGAAAAAAAAGTTTGAAATTCGAAAACACTATGAAATATAGTACTATAAAGATTCCAAAGTCAAATGAGAATCGGTATATTTGGGAGGCTTTTATAAATCATACATAAAATAAGCATCCATATCAAATACTAAAAGAATTAAATCTCCCATTGAAACGAATCATATATCTTTGAGATTAAATGAGTTGCAAATTGAAGGTAAATGGTTGCATAAACATAAATCGAAATGAAATGTATGCTACTGAAGAAATGTTTCAAATTTCCTATAGAACTGAAGAAAACTGAAAAGACAACCTTAGTCCGTTGATAATTTATAAAATGTAAAGTTTTCAATATTGTCATACAATACTAAGTTAAGTAATTTTGTTACTACTTCATCAAATCAGCTCCTGATGTTGCTTAACAAACCCCTAATGGCAATTTGAAAGAAATACGGTACAGCAGTTATTTGATGAATCTCTAATTATTTAATAATACATTTGAACAATTAAATCCTATAGTGGTTGTTCAACTAATTAGTAATTTTTATGTACATCCATCCAATTCAATCGAATTTGTATAAATACACGTACAATGTGATTCCGCATCATACTTCCAGACACCGTAATGAACCTTGACATCCTTGAGAAAAAACGTTTGGCAACATTGCCCTCAGCGGAATGAATGAAGTGTTTTATATGCCTATGTCGTGTTTGTTTTGGCGTGTCGTAAACAAACTTTATGACAAACGTAATTATTTAAAATAAACTCACCATTTATGGACGATCATCATGCCGTTTAGATGTGTTATCTCCTGAATCTGTAACAAATAATAAAAACGTTTTATACGGCTTTCTAATTGAGTTATCACACACTTCAATTCGACCATTAAAGTTTTATTGGCATTTTGTAGTAATTTACACCGGAATATTACAAGAAAACAGGCAATAAAACACATATTAACCAGTAGGTAGTGAAGAGATCGGTAACAGATTTGTGAAAGTAATGGCAATATGATTTACGATGAATTTGGCCGATACTGGATGAAAATCAATGACAAAAACATAAATAACAGATTTATAGGTAATAGTTACATCACACTTATTAATTAATGAATTGTAGGTATACATCAATGATACCTTATACTCTAATCGTACTTACTATTTCAAATTTACTTAGGTATTGAACCGTCAATTTTTTTTCCAAAACTGCAAATTATTTTTCGCTTCCTCAATACCAACAAAATTAATTTATCAATAGCTCTGAGTTGTTCTGTTTTACTAGACTCGGTGATAAAATAATCTACTTCTAAAATTTGCTCGTTGCTGTTCCAAAATCACATTGACAACTTAATACCTAGTTTGTTTGAAGGTGGTTGACAATGTTTCATGGTGTATTTCATCAGTTCAGACTTCCATTGTCTAATATAATATAAATTGATTTGAAATCTCTGAAAGCCGACGTGAAAGGCCTCTACACCAACGTTCCTGTCGAAAAAGCATCATGATTTATATCATGCACACTCGATTTCATCGAGTGTGCATGATATAAATCTGGGAATGATATAAATATAAATCTTCTTGAAGATGTTTGTGCTTGGACTTATCGTGAATATTCCGAAAAATGTTTTCCCGACTTGAACATAGAAAATTGCAAATAGATTTTTTCGTCAAATATAATTCTAGAAAATCTGCTTCAGATCTGGGAACACTATTCGTAGCAGTCTCACAAAAACCAGGCCAGGCCAGGCATTTACCGGATACCCTGCGAGTGCGGAGAATCATGTCTGGACACATCAACATAACATCAAGTGGGCTCAAGCTGAAATCATCCAAAAAGAGTTACATTAGTTTAGGAGAAATTTCAAAGAAGCCGCGTATATGTTGTCCAACAACGAATTCAGCCAAGCTAGCGTAGAGATACGTAACATATGGAAACCTCTAATCAAGCGAAAAACGACCAACTCCCGCCAAACGATCATCTCCCGCTAAAATCAATGAAGCGGAGAGAGGGAAGAGGGGATAGGTGAAAGCACTCGAATGACCTATAAATAGTCAGATCTCGGAGTAATAAGTCCAGTTATCACCCGAAGACGATTGTGGATACTAACAATCGAAACGTCGTGACGTAACTTGGTTTGGAATCTTTTAATTTTTATTTTTCATTTATTGATATTTCAATTTTTTTTTAGTTGTTGCTTGTATGTTATTTTTTTGTAATTTCAGTTTTTTGTTCAATAAAATTGTTATTTTCGGTTAATATTTTTAATTTTTTTCAGGGATTTCAAATCAATTTATATTATATTAGACAAAGGAAGTCCGAACTGATGAAATTAATACCTAGTTACTAAACGCAAGCTTCAAAATGGATTTCATTGAGACCACATGTGTTATTGCTCTTGCTTAAGAAATAGAAAAACATATAAAACATTATCGATTCATCCACTGGTTGGCACAAGGCTTATAGATGTACAATTTGGCAATTAGATCTTTAATTATTTCCGAATGAGCCGAAAAAGTTTAGAGAAATCATCTGCATTCATTTCTATTTTTTTGTCAAACAACGCAGGGTGTAATCAACTGTTTTCATATTAATATTTTATCTAGTGAAATGTTGAAGCATGGCAAAATTGTAACTGAAATATTGAGAGCAGTTGTAAGAAGGTATGAACAGTTGTAAGCTTCAGGTTCCTTTCATTTCAAAAGTCCGGAATATTTCACAGACTCTTTACTTCTTGAAGATGTTTGTGCTTGGACTTATCGTGAATATTCCGAAAAATGTTTTCCCGACTTGAACATAGAAAATAGCAAATAGATTTTTTCGTCAAATATAATTCTAGAAAATCAACCACGTTCAATGGTTCCCACATCAGCTTCTTCTGGATATGAAAACCGCTTGTTTGATAACACATCGTTTCAATTAATTCGCATTTACTTACACCCACAACAAAGGAAATGAAACTCTGACTCATCTTCCAAGAGTCTAGGTACCGAGAAGAAAAAATAATCAACTGTAGGAAATAAGTGAATGTGATAGAAATATTTCGCCGACAAATGCACCGGCGCGGCGCGTAATTTCCAAGAATATCCCAGAAGCTGGAAAACTTTATAGTACAGGAGAAACATATCTCACAAGTTTATTTGCCATTTGCACCTGCATACTCTCTAGCTAGACAATATTTCTCAATAGTGAGTTACTCTACATATGTAACACATAACGAACCCGTAACTTTTGAAATGTAATCAAAGTACAATCAACAAATTTTGGTAAAAATGAATGATTTAGACGAGTTAATTTCTTTGTCTACATATTAATGATAGTATTTGATATAAACTACTAATGATGGCACTGACATTATAGAACAGGTGATTTTTTATAAGAACAAAATACAAGCACTACAGAAAAATCCTCAAGGTGCTCTCAGAGCGGTGCCTGTGCGATTTACATTGGATATGAATCGCTGGAGAATAAATCCATTTGGAAAAACGTTCTGAGAAAGTTTATTCCACAAAAATAATATCATCTTTCTCAGTGACGTTTCGGAAATTTCGTTCTACCTTTTGCTTTTCTCCTTTTGAGTAACTTGGAACTAGAAATATTACTTTTGCGAATTTCAGGTAGTAATATTTTTGAAATTAGTATAGGTCGAAAAATAAAAAGTTAAACTAGAAAATCTGGCGTAAAATAAATCCAAAACAAGCATCTAATTCTCTTCTCAACGCGCGTTTCACAATCCAAATTATCGTCTTCAGGAGATGAAGAAGAAAATCCTTTTTCATCTCCTGAAGGAATTTATTTTTCATTTTCATCTCGCCAACTTGGTTGGGAAAACGCGCGTCGAGAAAAGTGTTGCATTTCTGATGATTGGAAAAAGTGTTTGTTTCGGATTTCAGGCATTAAATTGTTCACTATGAAGAAGTTGGCTGTGGAAATGAGAAAATAATAAGTGATACCAGAAGATATTCTTTCGTCAAGGTGTGGATATTTTCATTTCATAGACCAGAATATTGTATTTTTGAAAAAATATAGGAGAGCAAATTTTCAGTTCTGTTTTTGTTAAATTTTCACTCATCTAGTTCTTACAAGTATATTTAATATTATGCTATGAATTGTTTTGGACTTTTCTTTTGAATTAAAAGTCAGAAAATTGTTAAAGTAAAGACCCTGAAATTATTTAATTTCAAACAACAAAAAAGTAATAATGAATTATATATATAGTATTGAATATTTATCAAATGAAATAAAAACAACAATAAAAATTAATTGGCGCTCTAGGGCGACTTCACTGATTTCAGTGGGGCAATTGTTTTTACAGCTGAAGGGAACCCGGAAAAACCTGCAGCATATCGTCTGAAGATCTTGATCTGCCAATGTCCTCTCTCTCATAAAACAAAATGTAGGGTGTCTCCAGAGGCTCCAATAGATTCAATACATCGCCAGAACACTTCGTGACACGACTATCGTCAAACTTAAACCAGTCCGTTTCGTCTTTGACCAAGGCGTAATAATGACCAAATTCAACGCCAGAACAACAGTAGACAATGACTGAATATGCATGAATATTATCATAGAGGTCTGCTAGATTGAAGTGTTCATCTATTTCGAATCTTCGTAAGAGTTTGGTGCTTCCGTCAGAGGTTGAGTCATGTTTGAAGATTTTCTGTGTTATTATTAGATTGACTGGTGCCTCACCTATACTTGTTTCCTTATAATAGTCAGTTAGTTTGGCGCATGTATGGCAATACATTCGATCGTCACCTGTTAAAAATTCCATTTTCAGATGATTTAACAATAAACTTTGCACGGACTGGTTATTAGTCATATTAGGAAACGCTAGATGAAGTTCCAGAAATTCACTACCTCTTGAACATTTACTACAAAGTAAAGAATTGGGGATTTTTACAGAAAAATATTTACAAACGCAAGACGAGATGGACTGTACGGAATCATTCAATCCAGAGCGATCAAGAGTATTGATTTTGCTATCGTTTTGCTCACGAAGAGTATTCAACAAGAACCCCAAGAATTCGGAACAATCCTCTTGTTGTCCCAATGAGTATCTAGTGGACTTCAAAGACTCGAGGAAATCGGTTGGCGGGAAAGGTGATACATTTTAACGAAACTGCAGCTGCATGAACAGGTGTTTGGGTTTGGTGAATGAGTAGGAAACATTCTTGTTGTCATTCATCATTAAAACCTCGTTCTGGAAATGTTTCGTCATGAACAACACTTGTAAAATGCTATTCATGTAGCAAGTGTTTCCTAAATTATCTAATCCGATTTTCTTCTCAAAATTTTCAGGAAGGAAGAACATGTTTCACATAATCTGCATAAATTATCATTTGATTTGCAAAACAATTTTTAAATGATTGAAGAAAACAAAATGAGCCATTCCTCTTGCCATGAAATATAATAATTATTCAAAAAACTAATATTTTTTTAAAATTTTGTTGACTCTTGGAATATTATTTTTATTTCGAATAAAATCTACACCACTGCTAACGTTTCTACTATAGTTTCTATCGCAGCAATTAGGTTTGTTGCGTTATACAAAAAAGTGGTAACACTTCAAATGAAAAGAAAAAAAATTCAATCTTTCTACAAAAAAGGGCAGAATCATACATAAAAAATTCTTCCAGATATAAATTCAAAGAAATAGTCTATCTGAAACGACCACATTCAAATTACCAAGCATTCGTTATGGAATTGAAACAGATATCATTGATAGAAACGCTAAACGATCAATTGCTAAGGTGGACCTCTAGAAGTTTCGTCAGCACGTTTCCAAATCATTTTGGAAAATATTGCTTGCATAAAATT